ACACAAATTTATTTGCTGGCCTGACTCTTGGAGTTTCCCAGCAGAGTCACCAAGCTATCATAACGTCTAGATCCGGGGATCTATTGCTAGACATTGACTTAAGGAGTTGCCATCAATCTTTTTTATCTAGGTGCGATTGGTCACCTAAAGAATCTGTCCTTTTAGGGAACACCTAAGTTTAAAGATCCCTAAAAGAATAGGTTTGGGTCTACTAACCAGAACAGGGTTCGAGAGTTCGGTTACGCGTGAAGAAGGTTATAACACCCTCACAACGCCCATCAAAAGATGGTACCAGCTTAATTTTGTGTTATCCAATAAACCTTAAAATTTTATCAAATAATTAATTATTAGAAATTATTCGTAATTGACTCTAATACTTTTAGCAAAAAATTGAAAAAATTCTCTCACCTCAACAGTATGCAAGAAAACTACTGTTTCCTTTGTAGAGGCTCTATCGTCGGATTATTTAACATTAAAAAAAATTCAAAAGAAAAAAAATGATTGCTTTTGTACAAGGAAAAATTGATGCTTTTACTTTTCTCCAAAATATTTTTTGGAAACTTTAATTTCAAGGAAAATTGATACTGTCAACTTTTCCTCAAAAAAACTTTTTTTTAAAATTTATTTTTAAGAAAAATTGATACTTTCAACTTTTTTCCAAAAATATTTTTTGAAAACTTTAATTTTGAGGAAAATTGATACTTTCAACTTTTCCTCAAAAAAACCTTTTTTGAAAATTTATTCTTAAGGAAAATTGATACTTTCAACTTTTTCCTAAAAATATTTTTTTAAAATTTTTAATTTCGAGAAAAATTAATACTTTCAAATTTTCCTCAAAAAAACTTTTTTTTGAAAATTTATTCTTAAGGAAATTTGATACTTTCAATTTTTTCTCAAAAATGTTTCTTTTGTTTTTTTGAATTTTATTTAAAGAAAATAAAATAAATAAATAAATAATGAAAAAAAATAAAAAATAGAAAAAAATATTAAACAATCCTAATATAATAATAATAAATAAATAAATAATAATAATAAAAACTTGGAAACGGCTCGGCTTGACTCAGCTCAATGAAGAAAAACGGCTCAGAGACGTGGCTCAGGGTGTCCGTTCGGCTTAGTTAACAGCTCAAAGAGACGGGTCGACGCTCGGGTCGGGTTGGATCTTGGCAAAACGCACGAATCCTCTGGTTACTTAACGCAGAAACAATGTCATTTTGGAAGGGTATATAAGGCTGATTCCTTCTTTTTTTTTAGCAGACCGAGCCTCCCCTCTCTCTCTCTTCCTTCTTTTTCTCTCCCTTCTCTCTAACATTCCTGAAGAACTCTGGTTGAATACTCACCGGATTGTGAAAATTTCACCAGAATCTGAGTTTTTCACTGGAAATTCATCGAAATGTTGATCGGTTTTTGAAAATTCTCATCGAAAACTGGGCAGCTAGCCGAAAACTTCAAACTTGGTCGGAATAGTTGCAGAAAAATTCAACCTTTTATCGAAAAATTCAACCGAAATCTGAAAATTTTTCAGAAATTTCCAAAAAAAATTCGCAGAAAAAATCTTCAAAATTTTCCACCAATTCCTAAAGCAATTCTAACGCCTCTAAACCCTTTTTCAGCTTTCAAATCTCTTCTGTCTGCCTTTTTTCTCTCAGCCAGTAACTTTTTTTCTTTGTACTTTTCCTTTGATCCGTGGGTTACTTTTCCTTTGATCCGTGGGTCCTTTTATAGGGATTGATCAGAATATAGGGATTGATCAGAAGAGTTTCTGATCAATCCCAACTCCTCTTTGGATTGGGATTCAATCATTGAATCTAATATGGACTTTGATTGAATTCCAATACAATCTTCAGTCAAAAAAAAAAGAAATCAAAAAAATATTAAGAAAATCAAATAATAAAAAAAATATTAATAGATAATTAAATGAAAATAATCAAATAAACCAGGAGATTAACAAATAAATTAAAAATAATAACAGATAAATTATAACATATAAATAGATAAATAATAATAAATATATAACTAGGTAAATAAAAATATATATATATAAATATTAACAGAAAAGAAGAAAAAAAAGAAAAAAGAAAAGAAAAAATAAAATAATAAAGATATATATATTAATAAATAGTAATAATAAATAAGTAAATAATAAATACATAAAAGATAAAAAAATAATATATATATATATGAAAAATAAAATATAAATAAAATATAAAATACAAAAATAATAAAAAAATAAAATGGACCAACTCATTTGGACCAGACCCAATTGATTCGGGCCTAGATCAAATTAGGTGTCTACAAGTGATTTCAGGGATTGATTGTCAGAAATTGAATCTGTCACAAACAGATTCAATCCCATTAATTGCTCGATTTATTCCTTTGATTATCAGAGATTGAATCTATCACGAACAGATTCAATCCCATTAATTGCTTGATTTAGTCCTTTGATCATGTCCTATGATTTGATTCCTTCTTTTACTCAGGCTGGATTTCTGGGATTAAATCTTACGAGCCAAATCTAAACTTTGAAGATCTTTCCTTTTTTTTTATTAAAGTAACACAAAAAGAATTAAAAAAACTATCAGTAAAACTATTGACGGGCCAGGGCCCAAACACAAATAAATAAACCCAAACAAACTGCCTGATGGGCTCATAGCCCAAGCACAATAAAATTATTTGAAACCAATAAACATCTTAAAAGCCCAATGGTTTTGCCAAAATCGAAACTGAAAATCTAGGTAGCTAATTGCACCTAACCAAAAAAGATTGGTGGTGACTTCTTATTTTTGAAAATTCTTTTAATAGCCCTAAAACCATTATGATAGTCCTCATCATAATAAATTTAACAATTGGGAGCACAAATTAAACCTTCAAATGAATGTTGGAATACAAAAGTACATACAGGCACAATAAAGCTTATTCTCAAGCAGTTTAACTACTAGAAACACTATTAGTATCCTTAAATAAATATTTGCCCATCTTTTAACAGCAATAAGAAACACTAAAGCAAAATTGTTGTGAACTCAATACATCTTTTAATAGCTAAGAAAACCTGTACAAAAGAGAAAAAAAAGTTAGAAGGAATACAAATATAAAGATAAAATGATGAGAAAAATCCAAATTCAAGACTTACCTATTTGATCATTAAAGAAATCTCTTAATTACAAGAAAACAAAATCATAGTAGATTTAGCCTTCTTCCTTATTTGATTCCACACCCATATCGTACAAATGTTTTAGTATTGCATTCAATACAATTTTCCAATATACTGAGGATCTTGTACCTAAAATACTTGTTTTGCTTAGGATGCAAATGCAAAAGGTTTATCTTTTATTTCCTTGCCTGTATGAATTAAATTTGAGAAATTCACAAGGGTAAATTCATATTGATTTTTCTTAATGCCCTTGCCTTCAATAAGGCTAATTCAATCACATCAAAACAATACAACCTTAAATCTATCAAAGTAATTAAGTTCTATTATATTCATTAGTGCTCCATAATAAGTATCTTCCATAATAACAAGATCTCAACTTTGAGCATTTGGATAATGAGTGATTTTTACAATTACAACTACTCTATTATTTTGAGTTTTTCTAATCATCTCATGACTTTTGGTATGAAACCTAATCCCATTGATAATATAACCCTTATATCTTGTTGCAACCTTATTAAGATCTTGGGAATGATACCTAATGCCTTTTATAGTTTCTAAGGATCCATTTTTGCAACCTAGTTTAACATTGGAATATATAAAACATGTTATTTTGACCATAACTTAGAAAACAAAAATAATATGATAAATTAGAAAAGTAATAACCTAAATTATGAAACCATTCATGAAATTTATAATTCATCATGTCATTTATAAAGAACCTAATCAAGTTGACTAAAGTTTAATTAAAATACTTTATAAGAAAAAGACAAGACTTTTCTAGAAGACTTAGAGGTGAAATTCATGAATTGCTTCACATTGAAATAGCACATAACGATGATTTTATACCAATATTTTTTCATCTAGCTCAAATCCTATTACCTTTCCTAATGGTCTACCTAAACATGGAAATAAGCTTAAGTTTTGTCGTGGTTCACTAAGGACATCATAATTTCTAACTAAGGGATGGAATCGAGTTTCAGACTCTTCTAAATATTTAAACAATAGACAATACACTTTTCAACCAAGTAAGCCTCTGCAATCGAACCTTCTAAGTGAGCTTTTTGGTATTATAAGACTTCAATTTACAAAGAAACCTATAATAAAAATACCAAAAATAAAGAAAAAAGAATACATTAACTCATAAAAAATATCTATAATTGAAAGACCAAACTAAATATGAAACAAAAAAAATTAACTATTAAATTATACCTTTCAATTGGATACATCCATCTATAGTAGACATATGCTGCAATTTTTGCCTTTTCAGCCAAATGAACAAGCAAATGTACCATGATGGTAAAAAATTAATGAGGGAAAATTTTTTCCAATCAACAAACAGTGAGCACAATCTTAGACTAAAGTTGCTCAAGCTCTACTACTTAAAGAACTTAAACACATGGTGACTTGAAAAATTGACCTAATTCAACCACAACCATGGTCACAACCCTAGGCAAAAGCCCATGCAATACAAGTCCAAGAAACTCCTCCATTAATATGTGGTTATTGTGACTTTTTAAAGGTAAAATTTTGCAATCTTTGAGACTGACATGTTAAGATATATTTGAAGAGTAACCATCAGCAACTTTGATACTTTTTAAAACTCTTTAAAAAAAAATCCCTCCTTTGTTGACATCCAATAGCATACATGAGGTATATGAAGTCTACCATCCTCATCTTCCTTTAGATATATTTCTTTTCATATACCCAATGCTTACAAGTCTAAAAATATCTTCAAATTATCCTTAGTCTTCTTTTCGATATTTAATAAAGTCCCCAAACATTTCACACACTTTTTTTCTACATGCCTCACATATTAAGATTATGACGCACAAAACTATGCTTCAATTACAACAAACTAAAAAAAATGCTCGTTCTTTTTCCAGTACTAGATTAAACTGGATTTTTCATTCTAAAGTAACATGCACATTTTTTACTTGACTTAAGTCATAGTTCCTAAAGGTGAAATTGTGGCAGCCCTTAGTTCTTGAATACCATAAAAAAAGGAATCAGTTAAAATTTATGACTAATATCTAAAAATCAACGATAACCCATAAAATAATATTTACCGTCATGATCTAAACATAAATAACATCTATCCTTAAAACAAGGAGGACAAGCAAATTGACTTTTAACATTCCAACCAAACAAATCACCATATGCAAGAAAGTCATTTATTCTCTACATTAAAGTAGCACCTTAATTGAAAATTATCTCCAGCAAAGCATCAAAGGTGTTTACACCAACCTTTCACAATTCTTTTAATTCTTTTACTAGAAATTGTAGAAATTGTAAGTAAATGTCAAATATCATTTCTAGGTCCACTCTTACTAAGAATCACTAAGGAAAAAATAAAAACTTGATTCTTTTATGGAAAACGAAGGCAGCAAATGATATGGTATCACCATAATAGGCCAAACACTATATTTTTATTCATTGTCCTAAATGGATTAAATCCATCAGTAGCCAAACCTAGCCTCACATTACGAGGATCTAAGGCAAAATCAGGATACTGCAAATCAAAAGATTTTCAAGCAAAATAGTCAACTAGATGCCTCGCCTTTCCATACTTTTTATGACCTTTATCATGCCATACTATGGTAAAAGCCATTTTTAAAGACATGACTAATTTTTGGAGTCTAGGTTTCAAGGGAAAATGACATAACATCTTCATAGGTATTTTCTTTTTACCGTAAAAATTGCCTTTCAAATCGACATTTTCACTTTGCACCCACGTAGAAGCACCATACACATTTCATGAGTCTTCATCTGGTTTTTCATCTAGGTATAATATTCAATCATTTAGACAAGCATAAATCTTTTCATACCCAAGACCTAATTCCTTAATCATATTCTTAGTTTCATGATATGAATTAGGCAAGGTTTCACTATCAAGAAGAATACTTTTCATTAGTGAAAGGAGAAAAATGAATGACTCCTTACTCATCCCACCATAAACCTTTATCTGAAACAATTCTAAGATGACAGACAATCTAGATTGTTTTTTGAATCCTGGATAAAATTCTTGGTTATAATCCTCTAGCAACTTATAAAACTTAGCCACTTCAATATTTGGCTTTTCTTGGGATTGTCTACTATCACTCCTTCCACCAAAAAATTAAGAAAAATCAATCATATTTGCATTTTCATCAACTCCTAAACTCTCTTTAACATTAGGAGATGTAAGTTTTATAGAGCTTTCAAACTGAAAAAAAAAACCCTTTGTAAATGAGACACATAATCAGGCAATGAAGTTTCACCATGACGAATCCAAGTAATATAACTAGCCAAAAACCCATTGCAAATCAAATCTTTTGTACTACTTCTAATGGTATTCAATGCATTTTGACACATTTCATGCATGGACATAAAATCATACCATCTCAAAATGCCTTCTACAATACAAATCTTAAAAATTGGCTAATCGTTTACATATATTCACTACTAAACCTTGACTTTTTAATCCAACTCTTATCTATAGTTTTAGTACTTATGGGGAAAAAAAAAAGTAATGACGGCGGAGGACACAATCTAGAAATAAAAATACTTTTAAGAATTATAACATAATAAAAATGAAATTTATTCTAAAAAGTTAATTGCACATGAACAATACCTGGGAAGGAGTTAAATCAAATGATGGATGAGTGTCTCTCTTCTCTATGTACAAACACAAGAAAGACCTCGACCCAACCATGTTGCTAATCTTGCCACATCCTCAGCTATAAAAAAATAAAACACTCTACTTATGAAATGCGGTTACTAAATCTTCATCTCACTGGTTTAACAATTTCAAAAGTACCAGTACCTAGCACAATCACAGATTCAAAAAGATAGTTCATTTTAGTAGCTAATAGAAGCAAAAAAGCTCCTTATTCAAATTTGACTTAAGACTCCTTCAAGCTCAATATTCCTATCCTTTTATGATGATAATCTAGTCTAGCTTCTACCCTTATTTTGTTGTTCATTCATCATTATCCTATGCTTTTTCTTTCACCCCCCTCTACCCTTTCTTCATCCTAGCAATAGGGTTTTACCATTTGCAGATTTTAAGTTTCTTTTCAGAAAATACATGTAAAAAGAAAATTCTACTTGTTACTTGGCAAGCCAAAGCTGACGGCACAAGCTAGAGAAAACTCCCACTAAATTCAGACTACTTCATTGGCTGAACAATTTAATCCTTAAATTTTTATATTCAGTAGAATGATTGGAGTAAAACCTTCAGTATAGTTAATCCCAAAAATTAAATGGTAAGACGGTAATTTAACAAGATAGACTAGGCTTAATAGCAATAACTTGAAGAATAATTTCAACATTATATGACAGTATAGTTGGAATTTGATACTCTCCAGTGTCCATAGCTTTTGCTAGGAAAAATACACGGAAGATTCGGGAACTACAATACATACCAGATAGCCAGCACACAGATTACAGCAAAAATAGGAAAATAAACATCATATATAGTTGATTGGAGTAGAGACACATAGATTGGTCAGATCATAAAACATTACCTAGGAAGGGGTTGAATCAAATGATGGACGAGTATCACTCTCTCTTCTCTGTGCACAGACACAAGAAATACCTCAACCCAACCATGCTGCTGATCCTACCACAACCTCAGCTGTAACAAAATAAAACACTCTACTTATGAAATACAGTTAATCTTCATCTCACTACTTTAACAATTTCAAAAGTACCAATACCTAAGACAACCACAGATTCGATAAGATAGTTCACTTCAGCACCTAATAGAAGCAAAAACAAGAGAGAAAAAGCAAATACGAGAATAACACCAGCCAACTATCTCCAACCAAGATTAGAATAGTGAAACAGAAAGCTAAACATTTGCCACCTCATCAAGAAAGTAGTAAAATCTTCATTATAAATAGCAGGGGTAAAATCAATTAACAAGGGAGATGCAAAATAATATGAAATGAAATGATTTTATCCGAGGCCCAAACTTTTCATCTACATAAGTGACAGATTTTAGGTCTTAAAAACTGAAATTCTAAGCAAGTTGTAACACAACCTTTAGACAATTAATTCCAAATCGCAGATCACAAGAAAAAATAAAATCAAAATGAAAATTAAGAAATTAAAACTTACCTTAGATAGATTAAAATTGAGTTTGAGCTTTGACCAAATAACAAAATCAAGATAAATTGGACCAAATAAGACTTAAGCTCAATAATAAATGGAGTCGTAATAAATTATATATTACAACTGAGATGTGATAATTACATGTAATTCTTGGTTAAAATTTAAGTTTGGGTTTGGAGAAAGAGATAGAACAAGGTTTAAGTTAGTGAGAAAAAATGAAATGAAAAAAAAATGTTAGAATTTTAGATTATGTATACATGCTAAGTCGGCACTGTCACGTGTTTATTTGCTAACATAATCAGATTATATGATAATTGACATCATACGTGTTAAAAATTAGTTGCTAAATGATGAAAAAAAAAAAAGAACTTACTCAAATATTAATAATTAAAACGTAATATTTTAATGGGATGACCAAAATAAAATTCAAAATTGGATGTTTATTTGTGTCTTCTAGTGTTAAGATAAGATATACTAATAAAAATAAATAAATAATGTAAACCTATATCATATATGCTTCAACATAAATATTAAATAAGCAGGTTTTTAAGTACTAAAAAAGGATGGATTTGCATTGACACCCCTCAAATGATGCTAAAACGATTAGAATGTACTATATTCGTACTTGATGGAAGAGCCAAGCCAACGGAGGAGTTTTATCTGCATAATCTTTTGTCACGGTAACAGATCCTTGAATGTTGTGTGCATGTGCATGCAGTCGTTGAACATACGACTTTTTATAAACTACCATTTTTTTTTTTTTAACATTTGAACGAACAATAATTTCATAAAAATTAAAAAGCCACCGGGCAGGGAGAAAAAAGACCTAAGTTGGATAACGTCCCTTCAACTTAAAGGAATCAAAAATAATTTCTGACCATATTGTAAATTTCAAAAGAAAAAAAATACAAGTGGCATTTGATCAGGTAAGTTCCCATCAAATCAAATCAGGCAAGCGAGCAAAATGATAGAATGAAAACCGCACAAGTCAAACAAACATCCTAATGAAAAGCTGCAGTTTCAGCCTGGAAGAGTTGGAGTAGGCCCTGTATGCTCATTGTAGTCAGATCTGCCCTATCCCTCACCCGTACACTCACCTGAAACAAACATTAATTTACTTCATAGGTCTAGACATTAAGAATGAAAATGACCACCCAAATGTACAAAATTTATTCGGAGTTCACCAATAAAGCAAAAATGTACAAAAATCAATTCAAAATCATAGGACAGGCAAAGTGGCAAACCTGGTTAGTGTTCATTTCCTCTTCCCCAACAACCAATATATAGTTGTATTGTGCCAACTGAGCTTCTCGCACCTGCCAAGTGAAAGAGAAAACGAGAACAATTCAGTTAGTTCATAAAAAACTGCAGAGCAAGCTGACTTGAGATTGAAAGACAGCAAAAGACAACGATAATGTAGGATAGTCATAAATGACAATGTGGGTTCATTCTAAATCCGTAACTGTATTTAGAAAGAGAGTATATGACAACACTGTAAGACAAAAGAAATTTCATATAATTGAGGATGCCAGTCGTCGCACCTTTTTCTGGATCTTCCTATCTGTCATATCAACATCTACATAATAACCGGCCTCATGAATCAGATCCCGAACCTATGAAAATAAAATAAGAGATAACATTAGCATATCAGTTTTCCAAATGACTACCATTTTTGTGCATAACAAACAATTAACTCATCAACAACAAACTAAATGGATCCTACTGCGCCATAGTGCTCTACTTAGCAACCATATCCTTAGTAAGATAAAAAATGCAAGGTCCTGTTTTCAATAGTTTCCACCCACATATATGGTCTAGCACTTTGTTTTCAGAAATCTTCCTCGTTTGGCAAGTTCATATGAACACATCAAAACAACATATAAATAATGCCTCATAATTCATGAAATAAATAAAGTTAAACATCAAAAATAAGAAAGTCACAGAAAACTGATGCAATAGATTAGATATAATGGCATTCATGGCTAACAACAAGCACATCAAAGCAAGAGACGAGAATTACCATCATGGTCATGATTTGAAATAGTGAAATGAGGGAGATAAGGGATTTACCATGCCAAGTTTTCTTCTACAATGTCAAGTACAAGTAGCATGCAACCACACAAGAAAACATTCTGGTCCAATTCAAAGGAAAATCATGCCCGAATGTATAGGAAAATACAGAGAATTCCATATATCATATTAATGATTATATGTAGTTGCACCATAAATTTCATAAGGTTGGCAGTGAATGAAAAAATAAAGACACAATTGAGGTCAACAAACAAGCTAAGAAGCATACTGCTAGAGAAGACTACCTCTATTGCATATCTCTGAGACTTTTCTGACACAGGGCAAACAATTGCTTGACGGGGACTAAGCCAGAAGGGCCATTTGCCCTTGTAGTGCTCCAATAATATAGCAAACATACGCTCAACAGACCCCAGGATAGCTCTGTGTATCATAACAGGTTTCTCCCTCTTGGCTTCATCCTCTGCTGAGTACTCCAACTTGAAGCGCTCAGGAAGTTGGAAGTCAAGCTGCAAAAAGGGCATCAGATAATAAGTGATAATTATCATAAAACTAAAACAAATTTGAGAGTAGAGATAAAGGAGAAAATGAAGCACAATTGAACAGCACATACCTGTAATGTTGCACATTGAAATTTCCTATTCAATGCATCAGATACACTAATATCTATCTTTGGACCATAAAAAGCCCCATCTCCTTCATTTATCTGTACCAACGTGACTATTCACTATAAGCATCTAGAAAGAAGTCCATTGAAATGGATGGCAACATAGCCTTCAAATATAAAATAGAGAAAATAAAGCACAACAAATCAATCAAACATGCAAGCCAACTATAAAAGATTTTTTCCCTTCCCTTAGCAATTAGGGAATTCCACTATTTAATTAGACAAATCAGTCCAACTCAATAAGAGCACTTCAAATTTTCAAAACATAACACTTTATAACTACTATAATATTTAAACTAACTTCTCATTTGAGAAAAACAAGTCAAAAACACATTATTCAACAGAAAAATGGAGTGAAATCATGCGTCATGACACCAGCTTTGCTCATAAAAAGGTGACAAATACAAGAAAAGAGATCTCAAGCAACAGATCAAAAGTCACTTGGTGTTTTGATAAATTGCTATAGTCATACCACATTCCAAAGAACCAATACATAGGCTGGATGTTTAAGGGTGGTTTTAAGCTGAAGCAGCAGATTTTTCTCATTTGTTATCCAAAGATAATCAATTACAAAACAATCTCTGTTATGAAGAACCCCAAATTTTGACAGTAAGGTGTTAAATAGAAAACTGACCTGCCATGGCTTCCCAGACAGGTTCAATGCTTCTGTAAGAGCAACTTCAGCTCTTTCCCAAGTTGCCAAATCTCCAAGGTATTTCTCTGGCCTCTACAATTCAAATTTTTATGACACACTAAATAAAAACTGTCATTCTAGAATACAATCCAAGCATTAGTACAAAAATAAATCATGAGTCTTCATGTCCATATAATATTATAACATGAGGAATATAATTATGATGCAAGTAAATATATTAGGTCTTTATTCCGAAACCATTTTTACCAACAAATATAAAATACTTGCCTCAAATGTTGAAGGAAAAAGTCATTAAAATTTCAGGAAACCTAAGGGGTTTTATAGGTACAGCAACTCAAGATAATAGAGAGAAAACAATCATGTCAAAATCCTAAACTCACTTCATCATAGTTAGAAATAAGCAAACATGATACACTTAACTTAACTAAAGAGAAACTATTTCCAATCCTAAAAATTTAAGTCAATAGAGCTTATCATACCGTAGATAGTTTCAGCTCATAAGTAAACCCAAACACGGTGTATGCATAATCAATGAACTCCAGGACACCTTGAACTTCTTCTTTTATCTGAAAAGAGGCAACACATGTGCTACAAAGGAAATAGGGAGCTAAAATATTTCAAAATTCTCTAACTTACAATTTAAATCCAACCACACCTGGGATTCCCTGCAGAAAATGTGGGCATCATCCTGAAACAATATGAAGAGTAATGTCATAGAAAGGTGGGAAAACAAAATTATCCACATTTCAACCAAAAAAAAAAGTTTATGAGGTAGCCAGAGAGATTTTTAACTAGCAGAACTAAGCAACCAAAATGTTTAAGATCTGAATAGAGACTTCTTCAAACCTAAGTCCGAAAACTAACAAGTTTTCACACAGCAATGAATAATGGTAGACCAAAATTGACATTTGATGTTTAGCCAAAACAAAGGAACAGAAAGCTAGCAAGAGCACAATCTCAAAAGTTTATATCTAACAGGGTACCTGTTGAAACCTCCTGACACGAGTTAACCCGGTCAGTGCCCCGCTAGCTTCATTTCGATGCAAGACCCCAAAATCAGCCAGGCGAAGAGGAAGTTCTGCATGAATTAATCAGTATGAGAACATTGCAAAGAAGCCACAGATGAAAAAATGAATCACCTTAATCAGCATTAACCACAACTGACAACAATATGATGTCAAAAACCTTTTTCAGAAGAAGACGATTCAAATAAGCACATTCTTAAGGTTAAGAAAAAAAAAAAAAAAACTAGATTTAACTAAACTCTATATCTTCTAAGACTGAGCCACAAAGCTATTACATCAGAGCTCAAAAGAACCACGGCAGGGCAAAAGATGCAGAATAGAACAAATGAAAATATATTCACGCTAATACCATTTCAGAAAATTTTAAAATTAGCACAAACTGGTTTACTAAAATTATTACTTCAACTCATTCTTATAAAGTATGAAAGAAAAGGTAGTAAAGAAATGCTGGTCAAACATCCAAAGCTCATACATGGCAGAAACCTATAAAGTAAGACCAACAAAGATGGGAAGCCCATGTTTAAAGCAACCAAATGATGAGGTAACAAAGAAGCATAGCCTATAAAAGCCTCCTTTAAGCTTTCCTCAAGGGATAGTGAAGCCATGATACAGTC